CCCATCCCCTGCAATTACGCGTGGCTGACATCCGTCGCGAGGAAATGGATATCATATCCGCCGTGCGCCGACTGGGGCGGGGGACTCGGAGGCGTCGGCGCGCGGCCCGGGCCTCGGCAACTGATTGCATAATCCTGTGACCCCATGGAGATCGAAACCGACGGGCGCAGAGCCGCTGCTGTCCGACCCGCAAAGCCAGCATCATCGTGAGGGCCTTGACCACCACCGGCGCGGACCAAAACGGGGTTAACACACCCCTAAAGGGGACGCGCGTCCGGGACGACACGTCGGCTCACGGCGCGTCGTGAGAGCCTCCCCCAGGGGCCGTACTCCACGACGGTGGGACGGCGCGGGGGGCGGTGGCGGTGGTGGTGGTGGTGGTCCTTCTTCCAAATTCCATCGGGGCTGAATAGCTCCCCCGCCGGGCCGCGAAGCAGCGGCAGCAGTAGCGCCGTGACTCGAGTGCAGAGAGGGCGCTTTCGGGAGACGCCCCCCCCCCCTGCTGCTCCCCGCCGCCCTCGCGCAGGGAAGGAAGGACGTCAACTCATTACAGAGACGGCGGCGGCGGCGGGCGCGGTGTAGCCGTCGGAGAATGAGCCCACTTTCGTCCGCCGACCGCCTCGGTCAATGGTCGTGCAACCCCCCCAGGGGAGAGGCGGATAGAGACGACGACGTCGACGGGCGCCAATCTCACGGGGCCCGCGAGGGACGCCGATGACGCAGGCGAGGCACCACCGATAAGGAATAAGCGCCGCCGACGATGTGAGAGCGAGCGCGGCCGAGACGAGCGTCGCGGGGGGGGGCGGCGCGCGCCGCAGGTGGTGGTGCTCGCCGCGCTCCGCCCGCGGCTCCATTTGCCAGCCTACATAGTTTACCCGCCGCCTGCGGCCTCCTTAGACGACGGCGTAAAACAAAAGGCACAAGGGGAAGGAGGGGGAGGCTGAGGAGGAAGAGGCAGGCTAGGCGCATGTTGTCTTTGCTGGGGAGAGGGGGGTAAACAGAACGGTCGCATTGGGCGCCGCGGTGGGGGGCGCGGGGCAGTAGTGCTTCAAACAACGCGTATTTGCCTTATGGCGGATTACAAACTCCCACCCGCGCGCGCGCAGCTTCCGAATCTCCTCCTTCAACAAAGCCGTTCGCCCGCCGCTCAACCTGCTGGGGGAAGCAGGACGCCGCTGCGCAGCGCAGAGCAGACGCCACCGCCAACCCAGCCGTAAAACGCCGCGGAGGCGCCACAATGTTGCGGGCCGCGCGGCGGCGCGCCTTGCAGATCACCCGCCGCGCTCCCTCTTCGCAGCGCTGATAGGGTCGACATTGTCCGAGCTGCAAACACACCAACTACCGCGTGTCCCGCCCCGCCTCGCCCCGCCGTGTAATCCTCGCCCCGGCGGCCCATCTCCTGCTGCTGCTGCTGGAGGTGGAGGTGGAGGTGGTGGTGGTGGTGGTGGTGGTGGTCCGGGG